TGTGATGGGAAACAAGAGCTGCCGCCCAAGCCCACAGCCGAACCAAAAATTATTTAGGGAACTTCAAATGTCCTGGGCTGCATGATAAACTGCAACACTGTAAAGCAAAAACATTTGGTTCTTTTTGGGAGCGTCATTAAGGGATGAAAATGGTTCAGTTGCTGCATTGTGTTCTTTTAACATTTGTCCTCTTTCCTTCAGGCAACCATCAAATAAAGGCTACTAAACTCTTCAGAAAAAAATTCTGGCATTTAAATTATGATACTTGTCCATTCTACTTTTTTTTTTATCTTTCTTTCTTATCCATTATAACATTTTTGTTGGTACTGGTAAAGTGGTGACTATTTCACCGATCCATCACATGCCCTTCAGAAACATTTTATTAATTAGCAGACTTTCTAAGGTGAATAACTGTGGAGCAATTCTCAAGAGGCTCAGGAGTTTCATAACACAAAGATTGGAGCACCGATGTGGCCCACATACTGACTGAGGGTGAGTTATTAAAAAGCTAAAGATTAGATCACACAGAGGTTATGTTATCACGTATGTACTTCATCCAAGGCAGCATACTGTGCCATAATATAATACAGTCTCAAAAAAGATGAAATGCTTATTAACCACAACTTTTTCAGTTCTAAGCCATAAAATCATTAATAAACAGGTAAATATATAGGCTAAGTTGTTTTTGATGAACTGTGTTTTTATGGATCGGATGCCCTTTAAAAACTATGATACATTTTAAGGAGGCTGTGTATCCTTGAAATTAAGCATTAGAAGTTTTAGACAAAAAAACAAAGAAAATAGGTTTTTTCCTCATCAAAAGATTGGTAGACTAGAACCAGAACTAACACAAGAAGAGCACTATCCTTCCAAAAGAAACACAGGTAAATAGGTCAAAGCTTCAGAGAACAACAGGTGAGTGATTCCACTCTCACTGAACTAAACTGAAAGGATAAACTAGATTACCGCAAACAGGGTAAGGCCATCTGGAGCTATTATCAGATTTGAAGAAGACCAGTTCTGATTGGTGATATATCAATATTCAAAAGAAACCTTTCAATATGCCTTTCATTAATTTTTAATATCAGAATTTATTAGTAGAGATCCACCAATGGTTTTTTTAAGGCAGATACCAATTATTTTAACATCAGTTTAATTGATTCCTTATATGTGCCGCCTGTACTTTTGGGCCAATTCTTAAAGCTGATATCGGCATTTCTTCCTACACTCACATGATTAAATTTACACTACAATTTTGTGTCTCTTAATAACAAATGAAACAAAACAGTAATAATGGATAGCTAATGAAGGGAGCATGCAAGGCATGTCCTTCATGTGATCTCAAGCATTGACTGCTGAATGAGCCAATAAATCGACCAAAGCATCCACATATTGGCTGATACAGATACAAAAAATGATATCAGTCAAAAATATTTCACCTGCCGACGTATTTCTACTTTATTCCAACTCGAAACCCAGACTGGAAAGGATAAAAAAAAAGTACATAAAAACAGAAGCTTGAAGTAACTCATATTTTCCTGGAAGTATAAACACTGCTCTTTTCTAAGCCTTACTCAGGTATCTTTAAAAGAGCAGTTTAGGTTCACTATCTAGTGTAACAGATTCCCTTCTGAAGCAGCAGAGTGCCTGCTGACTGTGTGTGTGTGTGTGTGTGTGTGTGTTAGTGCATGATTATATAACTGTTTCCTCTGTTCTTGTTGTATGTTTATGAATGCACGGCTATTTTTTCCTCCCCTTACCCTAATTAGAATGATTAGCTTGGCATCCTGCTTGAAGAGGAAATAAAAAAAACAACAACAACAAAAGAAATCTCCAGAAAACTATCCATTTTTGGCATCGCTCATTCCCCTATAGAGCATTGGACTCTTTTCAAATTAGATGAAACATCAAAAATGTGTTTTTTAGCATGTTTATGCAAAAAATAAGCTTAATGCAACCTCCTTTGCAGCTCCTATTTCCCAAGAAAGCACCTAGAAAGAGATTTGTCATGGAGGGTCTCCCCCTCTTCATCTTACGTCAGCAGACCAAAAGTGAAGACACCAGCTAGCAGATACATGAGTGGGAGGAGTGAACGAGGCACACATGGACACAGACTGAACTAAGACCTAAAATAAAATAGAAAATATTGCAGAATCTTTACTAGTTGTTGTATTGGTATTTATTCTTATTTATGACTTTGGAAATAACTTTATTGTCTCTGTTGTTTTTGGCTCATGCCTCTGCAGACATCACTTGTCAAACACAGTTACTTTGACAGGTTGGTGCTTGCAGTTTCTGTCAGCATTGTGTTTGTTCTATTCTTAAAAGGGTATGATTTTTCTTGTGACATAAGCGGTTTTCACAGAATATTTGCCGTTCCTTGCAAAGTACTCACACTCCCTGAACATTTTGGTACATTAAAACCACAACATTTTAATGTGGCTGTAGAAGTAATGCATAATTGTGAAGTAAACAGCAAAATACATGTTTTTTTTTAATTCTCCTTAAGTACAAATGAAAAATTTTAGAGGGTAATATAATAAATAGATCTTGAGAAACAGTGTTTCTTTTTCATCCTTTCTAAAATAATTACTTATTGATAGGCTGTACCCCAAAATAAAACAATTCCAAGTTTATTTCAATCATTTATATTATTAATCTTCTTTTGATACTAACATTTGAGTCCCTGCTGAATGAAAGCATCACAGTATAATTCCCCCACTGCAATCTTTTCCAATGGTAATGTGTGCTGAGGTTGATGGTTGGTGTTACTGTAGCTTTCCATCCTGTATAGCATTCACAGTTCCATTATGTTATCATATCATATACATATATTTGCTCAGTTCCTATAGGGCTTGGGGTAAGTTGCAAAGAGGAATCTTTATGGCTTTTCTCAAACCGCCTTTTGTCTTACGAATAGCTAATGCTAAAAGCCATTCCGGTAATAAATGTCTCCCTCATGTGCTGTTGATCTCTACAGCTCCTTGAGACTTGCCAATTCTCTGATGAACCTCTGATCAACTGATTGTGCTGCATTTTATTTAGGGGTTTCAAAGTAAAAAGAGATAAACCTTCAAGTGCAACCTATTTTCTGTATTTGTCTATTATAGAAGCCCCCACCCCGAATAATACACAGATACCTCAAGGTCGTAAAAAATGCAAAGCATTGTGCAGAAAGAAAATTAGCATCTCCTAACATAATTTATCTTTTCCAATGCAAATATTGGAGTAAATGCGTAGCACTACATGCTTGACCTTATGTTCATGTTTTACCTTAAATGAAGTCCAATTTCTGTGCATAAAAATGGCATTTCTTTGCTCCCTTACATCATAGATCCAACTAAAAAGGATCAACTGATGAGAGATGAGAGGGAGATGAGTAACGCAATGGGAAAAGGCTGAATGATGAAAGCGTGGGAGTTGGAGTGGAGACGAGAATGGTCTATGATGGGATGGGGGTGGGTGAGGTAGGGAAGTGATTGGAAGTACTAGGAAATTGTAGACTGAGAGTTCCAGCTGAGGGAAGACAATTATTAAATGTGTGAGCAATATTCCCTCTGTTTTAAAATGTGGAATAAACAAAGAAAATGCACAGCAAACACGGACATGCTGTGCATCCTCTGTAGAGAAACCTTGGTCTTTGAACAAAATTAAAAATTTAGATAGATATGAGCTCAGAGCAATTTTTGAATCTACTTTGTTTGAAGCCCACTGACATAACATGTCTTTTCATTTACTCAAACTAAAGTATGCATCACATCCATTCCTCAATCAACGAAAGCTCACAGGTTTTAGATGAGGATACCATGAACAGCTGAGCAGGGCGTGACACTAAAGGCAACATTAGCTAGAACCTCATAGGAGGCATTTTTGGACCAACACTTCAGTAATGAGGATATGACTCCAACTGTGCATAAACTAGAAGCAGTCAGGAAAGACAGACCAGTGGGGGAGAAAGACAGGTGTCAGGGGGTGGGTGTTGCAGGGCTTGATCTGTCAGCACTCTCTAAGCTTTTGTTCACAGCTGAAAATAAATTAAAGCATGCATGCCACACTTAACACCAGAAAGTACTTCTACAGGTACTGCTGGAAATCAATTTAAAAGAAGGAATTTCCAGTTACTTACTGCACCTTGTCAAAGTAAATATTTTCTAACTTTCTCACTTATTACATTACAGCCTAATTCTGCTATCTGCATTTTACGTGAAAGCTTTAAACACAAAATCAAAAACACTGGCCAGAAAGTGTAATAAAGTGGAAGAAAATGTTTTTAATCAAGAGGAAAATATCAGTTATTTTCCCAAAATATGATTGAACTTTTTGGATCAGAGGTTTATCGTTGGAAAACAAAATTCATAAATATTGTACACTTCCACGCACCCTCTCATGCAATGCTTTTGTTTTTATTACCTACTTGTGCATCATGTAATATACTATGTATTGTATAATTTTGATGTCTTCATTTTGTATCTATATAGAGCAATTAAGATAATTCAGCTCGTTTAGTTTGTTAAGGCAAAAAAAAAGAAAGAAAGAAAGAAAGAGCAGATATATTATATATAACATATTATGTTTGAATAATATGAATAAGACGAAGCAAAACACACAAAACAAACCCACTCCAAAGTCTGCTAAGCCCTCTCTCTGCTTTATTTCTCTTTTATCCACCTCCCTTTTCTACGCCTAAATGTGCATTTATGGACTATATTAGTTTAAAAATGTTTTTTTTTTTCTTATTGCTAATAAGTATAATAACTAAGAGATGCATAACGGTCTGCTGACTGCTTTCCATCCCTGATCCATCGCGCTGCGTGTCCGTTTGGTGCGTGTATTTCACGCGCGCCTCTGTGCGCGCGTAATTGTGCGTCTCAGTTATTTATTTATTTGTTTTTTCTTCTTCTTAGCGGACATCGAATCACGTGCCAGGGCTTTCCGGGTCCTGGGCCAAGTTTCTTCGTGTCAGACCATCCACGGGGATTCAGGCAAAGGCAGCCCACGCGACCCAACCCACCCGCGCGCGCATCTCCATTCCACGCTGCGTAACCAACTCCTCAGCAAGGATGAACGGGTAGCAGACAGAAGGCATGGAGAGATGTTCGGTCTTTCAACAATCGACTGCGCGGATGAGGACCACTTCAAGCCACTCCTTTGACTTCACACAGTGATTTTATTTTCTTTTTTTAAGGAGTTGCTCATTTTATTTGATCACTTACGAGCAAAGGAATTAAACTGATTTTGTGGAGAGAAAAGGAAGGAAGAAAGGAGAGGGAAGGTCCAGGTTGCTGAGAAAGGCTGGGTGCGTCGGAAAGTCACGGATCATGCTTATGGGAACTCTCGATTCCATATTGATAAGGTATTTTAACACAAAGAAGTTTTTCAGGATTTACTTCATAGGAGAAAAGATTCAAAAAGAGAGAAGATGAGCGCTTTCTTACCTCCAATGGGTTTTTTTTCCTTTCTTTCTCACATTACTTTAAAAGCTGCAGTATTCTATTCTTTAATAATATTCCCAAAATCCTCTATGAAATGATTGGAAAATTTAATTTAATTTTCTCATGTGTGCACAAAAAGCACATTTAAGGAAAGCTTCAAAAAAGAGTAAAGTCTACTTTACTGGATTATCAGGACTAATGTTTCATTCTCTATGCCATTCCATTTATTTTAATAATCAGGATTAGTGTGGCGTAAATGGCTTTTTTCCTCATTTTTTGCCGCATACTCCCGTATGCCTACCACTGAATGGTGTGGGCTAAAAACCTTCAGTATACCAGACAGAGTGGACCATCTGTTCAATCACATAGCAACAGGAAGAGAAAGAGAGTTAGGGAAAAAAACACACAAAAAAACTTAAAAATTCTCAGTGTAAATCTGTGGGGGTAAGAAGTCTTTCATTACTGCACTGAATATGTCTATGAAGTCTAAATACACATTCACTTTTTTTAGCCATTTCAATGTCCATATGATACTTGAATGAATGTGTGTATTTTATTTTAATGAAACAAGCTATTTCAAACTTTTCTTATATCTTTTTTGTCAATAATGTTCACAAATTTAACAAAAAAGCTAAAAGTTCAATCATTAATGACAAATAAAAAAAACTAAAGAGTGACAATTTTTCCACAGAATATACATGTTTTGACCACCTATGATATTGCAGCTGCAGATCTTTTGCAATATATGTCCAGGAACTTGGCATAATTAAAGATTAAACATTTCTATCATTGCCATATAGAAAATTTGATTTACTGTAGTCAGTTTGGATGAATTAAAGTTGGTTTTGGGTCAGTGCTTTAACTGGGTGTTTGAATATTTTGTAGAATCATTCTGCAGGAAGGTAAACCTCTGTCTGGTCCTAAATCTTTTGCATACTAACATATTTGTTTTCATGGCTGCCCTGTATTTAGCTCCACCTATCCCTATCCCATTAAGCTTGACCAATTTTTTCATCTAACGTGAAAAAAAAAGCATCGCCACAGGCTGTAACTTCAAATTTTTGGTAATATTAATTGGACACACCATGATATCCTTCCATCAGACATTTTATTCACCATGTAAGCAAATTTCACTCTTATAGTATATCCCTTACATGGCTTACATTTAAAATGGACTGGTTTTACACTAATAAATGCTTGCCACACTTTTCAGATTTTTTTGTTGTATAGCAAATTTTAACATGTGGTGGTGGTGCTTTTACTTAGCAGTTTTTATGTTTTTTCAAACACTTTTCTATGGTTTCTCATCTGTGTTTTTAAATGAAAAAAAAAAGTTAAGATGCCCCAGTAAAGCCTATGCAAAGCACTGTATGTAATACTTATTATACAGTTTATTTTAGGACCATATTTGCTCTAAAAGTGTTATCTTACTAAGTTGGTAGATTTGCCTTGAAAAGTAAAATTCTGTTATTGTGTACAGACACTGGAAGCAAATTATGCAACTAATTAGATTCCCTTCAATTAGCAACTTATGTTGCTTAGGGGCTGATAGAAAGAGAAAGAGAAAGTGTTGGTGGTTTAGCTCATTGTGTCATTTTTTGATCACTATTTCACTTTCTTTTTTTTTCTCCACATCTGTTTCTTCATTGCAAACAACCAACCTGCATGTTGGGTGTCAATCTCAACATCAACCACTTCCTATACCCCTCCAACCCCTCATCCTCTGACCTCCCCTCTAGAGTGGCTCTGCCTGATGCTCTATCATGACTGATGGCGAGGGGAGAGCGCGGTTTCAGTACGAAGAGTGCCCAGAGAAGAGGGAGGTGCTGGAGGACGTGAGGCTTTCTGTATCAGCAGCCCACTGGACCGACTCTCCAGGTCATGATGTTGACCAAGATAGACAAAAAGGAGAAGGCCAAGAAGAGGAGCAAAAACAGGAGGAGGAGAAGGAGGAGGTGGAGAAGGAAAGGAGACAGAGCTTTAGTGTTCGAGGAGAAAGGAGAGACGAATGGAGAGCTGAAGTTCAGGAATGTGAGGAGGAGCAGGAGCCAGAGCTGGAAGTAGAAGCTGGGCCTACGCTGGGAGTCCGTATCACAGCACCAATCCGTGACCCGGACTGTGTGTCCGAGGAGGAGGAGCAGCAGCCGTATCCGGCCCTGGCTTCTGTGGCTTTCTTTTGCCTGAAGCAAACAACAAGACCCCGCAACTGGTGTCTTCGCATGGTCTGTAACCCATATCCTTTCATATGCTGGAGATAACTCTGACAACTGGTAAGGCCAAATATGAGCTCTTATGTTGACAGTTGTGTGAATTAGTGGTGGTTTTTGGATGTTTTGCCCCCTGAGCACCCAGGTCGGGATGGGGTGCAGGCTGCAAAAGTATTTAACCATTTAATTGAAACTTTCACGGTAAAATGCAGAGGGTGCCTTGTTAACAGACGGAAAAGCAGTAGAAAGTCTGCTAAGGGGAAAACCATCAGAAAAAGATGTCTATTTTTATTTTTAATAACCTGTGGCTCCTGTGTTCCCACAACACTAGATAACCTTTAAATGGAAAGCTGCTTATATGTCAAAAAAACCCTCAAACCCCTGAAAGATTCTATACTGGACCAACTTGCATGGGTAGAGCATTCACAAGGCATTACACTGGTGATACAGTGTACATGTCAACTGTCTGAACTAATGGGTTTAAACTTTTAGGGGTGTAGAAATCAGCAATAAGGTGTTTCACTTTCATCTGGTGGGGTATATTATTTGCTTGGTTGTTGCCTTTCCTTGGATGATCCTTTTGTGGAGCGGTTGTGCCTTGCTGACTTATTTCTTGTATATGCTGAATTTCAGGTTGTCTAAATCATGTTTGCGGAGTGTAAAGAAGAACTTGGTCCTTGACAAAAGATCAATGGATGCAGTCTTAAACATACACATCTATATACTTTATTAAAAGTATCCCATCAGTTAGGATCCAACAAACTGGCTTTGGTGAATGTTCAATCCATCTGTCCATCCATCCGTCAGATAAATATATACTTCCAGGCCGAAGTGAGAAAAAAAAGTGAAATTTGCAGCTAAGAAGATATCGATATGTTCATAGAAATGGAAAAACAATCCCATATTTAATTAAATGCTGCCCAACATCCTTTCAAAGAGTAGTGCTGTGGGCCACTACCTCAACCCAAAGTACTGAAAGGCTTTGCAGTCCTTGCACTGCAGTCTGTCCTGAAGTTGGGGGCTCCTCCCTCTACCAATAAATGTAATATATTTGTACAATATTATGTAATAATAATATTGTACAATATTTTATCAATCTAGAATAAATCAGTGCACTAAAGTAAATCAGTGAATTTCTGGAATCCTGTTTTTATGAAATTGAAACGTTAACTTAGATTCTATAAAGACATTAAAAAAAACCTGTAAAAAAACAAACAAACTGGAAATAAAAAATGAATATATCTATATGAAACAATCCCTTAAAACAAAGAAAAAACAACACAAGAAAAGAAAAAACAAAAAGCAGTCTAAGTTGTGACACAAAAAAAGTAAGATTTGACGGAACAAAGTCTATAAATGTATTTTAAACATATGCATTTTGGAAATCACTTATCTCTCCTACTACATTACACAGCATTTCACAATGTCCATTGCAATTACATGCTGATGACATATTATGCTAATAAATTTAGACATCATGTATTAACCTGTACAAACATTTAGGACAATGAGGCGTCGCTACCAGACTTTACTAAAGTCCTACATTAACAACAAGTTGATAACATTTCAAAATGCAGACTTCTCTTTGACCAGAAACCTTGCAGTTGTTTTTTTTAGATCTGGTGGGAAAGCATCCCATCACACCCCAAATCAATATTGGACATGTAATCATTATTGACAGAATTTAATTTACAGGTCTGTCCCTAATCGACTTGTATTGGCATTATTTGGTTCTGAGGTGACGTTTTTATCAATATCAGTCAATATCTAAGCTGCCTTAATGTTTAGAAAAATTCAGCAGGTTTTAATTACAATATCCAAGTACCCTGATTCCATTAACCACTTTATGCCTACAATGATTTAGGTAACTCTTATGACAAACATATCCATGAGTTTGCTACTGTAATGCCTAAAAATCAGGTCAACATGGGAATACTGATCATAACTTGAATCTATTAAGGTGTTTGAGAAAACTGTCTTGGGGCTGTTTGCTACAGTCTGTAATTTGTAAGGCTTTTTTCCATTTTAACAAAAAAAAAAGTCTTGCTTTCATAAATACATATTCTACCAAATCGTAATAACAGTCATATATAAAAATGAAAGCTGTCCCATAGCTTAGAATCAGTTGTTTATAAGTACATAGGTAAGGGTGCATTCATAGGAGGATGCCATATAAAATACCTGTATATGAATGTGTTACATACCTGTTGGACTGAACTTATGGCAGAATCTACAGCCATTTCTTCGAATCCGTTTATTTACATCTGCAACATTTTGATCAGGCAACTACATAGCCACCTAATGGGCTTCATTATTTATTTTAGCTGATTGACAAGGCTAATAGGGGTTGATGTCTTCCCTCTCTTCAGAAAGAATAGATCAACAGAGTTATGTAGGTTTTCTTTTCTTGGGACAAATAACCTTTATTTTAAAAATGGTCTGACTGGTAATTGACAGAATGAGAAGGGTAGACATGCAGATAAGGAGTCCAGGACTTGAACCCAAGTCAAGGAACTTGTCAAGGACTATGGCTTTTGTGCCAGACATCCAGAGGGCTACCTTATGGGTCAGGATCTTTCCCTCTGCGTGGCAACCCGGGGGAGAGCTATATGTAAAGCTTCTTTCATTAAAAGCTGTAGGTTTATACCTACTTGTCAATAGTATAGCCATCTCCTAAAACATAAGACAATATAAAAGGGCATTATAAAAAAATAAATCTGTTTTCTTTTAGAACAGATTTTGTATTGTCTCTTATTAGCATTTATATACATGTATTTTATATTTAACAAATTGGCAAATTGGTTCACACTATCAGAGGTGCGACTGCTGTGTGAGCATTGCAAGGAACTAAAGTCACGAAAATCAGTGTGTAAACTCACATTATCCGTGATGGAGTGTGGAAAGAAGTTTGACAGGATCAACAGGATGTTCCTGGATTTCCTGATTTTCAAGAGCCAAAAAAGGAAAAGGTCAGATACCAGATATTAAAGCATTCTTGTGATTTTCACAATAAAATCAACCCTGCAAAATGGAAACATAAGGAAATAGAGGGGTTATTGGAGCATAAAAAATATGTTTATGCACAGGGATCCCCTGGAAGACTCAGAAAGAGCCTAATTTTTTCTGAACAGTTTCTGTATGCATAATCGTATCTTGGCCTGGCTGACTGCAGCGCCAGTATGAGTGACTTTTTGTAGCAAGTCTGCTCTGGATCAGGACCCCAGCTACACAATTGTCACTTTAAGCCCAGAAAAAGAACCCTTTTTATAATTGGAGAATAGCATTTTGCATTTTTTACAGGTTTTTTATTTTTTATTTTTTACACTTTTCTTATTATCTTCTATTCGTCAAGATTGGAAGGCCATTTTCCTAATTTTCAGCATCCTTCAAAGATTCTGTAAAATTCAGGGATTCTGGCTGTGCTTCTTTAAATGTTAAAATTACTTACAATCAGAGAAACATGTTGAGCAAATTGTAGGACCATTCTACACCAAAATCTGCCTGCAATATGAATAATTTGAAGCGTAGCTATACAACTATGTATGCATGGGTGGTTAGGAGATTTTCATTGTATTTAAATAAATGGAAATGCTTTTCTGCTATAACATAATTGTTCTTAGTTACAATAGAAAAGCAACACTTATGCTTCTGTGGGCAAATTAAATTAAAATCATAACTTTTACTTCTTAGATGCACGTTAGTAGAATGCAAACCAGATGTCTTCGTTTTATTCAAATTTCTCTTTTTTTTCTTACTGTACAGTAGGAAATTGTAGCACCTAAATGCTATAGATTACAGCAATATTAAGAGGTCCTTCTATAATGATACCACTTTTTTTTCTGTACATGCCCATTTGTGTGGGTTTGTAATTTTATCTCAATAACATTCCGGATATTTTAATGGTCTTCAGTGCTTTGGAGATAAATTGGTAATGCGTTAGAAGTTTGAGAAGACATAGATTCTACAAACAAGGGTAAATATGGAGTGAAGGACTCTTATATCCTGTGTGTCTCCACATATTTATCATAAGCAACTTCCCCTAGAAAAAAACAAAACAAAAAAAATTGAAACACCCTTATATAGCAGCAGTTACAACAGATCAAAACTGCTTGCAAAATCCTGTTTACTTACGTTGATTAGCTCTTGCAAGCGAAGCTGATGAATCATACCCTTTTCAGCACGACAAGCCGTGACGCAGGTCAAAAACTCAAATTGCTGATCTGCCTGAATAGGTCAATGTGCGTCAGCCGACTCTTCCTCACGACCCTCATCTTGAGAACAGCTCAGTATAGATACGCTGCTTCCTGGCTTCAATGTTTTGATTCCTCAGGCAGTGCCTGAATTGATTGTGTGCATCTATAGGAGAGAGGGTATGTGATTGACAGGTTCTGTCATGACTTGTACGTTTTTTAGCTGTCCAGAATTTACACATTCTATATATGAGGTCCTCTGGTTGGAAGATGTGTTATTAAATGTACCTTTATTCTAAAGGTCTTTGGATGATTCATATCTTATACAACCCATTTAGATCAATCAGGTTTTAATGAGCTCATTAAAGGTCAATCAGTGGAGCACCAATCTTTCTATCAGATGCACATATAGTCTAAGTTAAATCTAAACAACACAGCTACATGTTAAAAAATATATTATAAATGATTAAATATCCATGTTTTCATTTTGCCTGCATGATATTTCTTCCTATGTACTAGTTTCCTCTTAAAGTTCAAAAGACACTACAAAAAACCTATCCGGGGTTTAATCTGCCTATGGCCCGAAGATTGCTGTATATAGGAGGACAAATTGGCAAAACTTTGCAAGGATACATGGGTATAGAAATGGATGGTTTGAAATATAAAATATATTTTTCTCCCATCAAGTACATACTGTATTTAAGAAATAGGTTTGACTCTTCTTACTTTAAGGTAGCTCAGTGGTGCTCAGGACTAGGGCAGGGCGATATGACCTCAAATCAATATCATGATAAATACGGCAGTTTTACCTCAATAATGATAAATGCACGATAAAT